TATATATATATATATATATATATATATATATATATATATATATATATATATATATATATATATATATATATATATATATATATATATATATATATATATATATATATATATATATAAATACATATATAGGGGGCGGTTCAGGTGAGAATGCACCTTGGTGAAAGAAGTAAGAATAAAATTTAGCCTTTGGATCTGATGCATCGTGCAACTCATATTGCATCCTGTGCTCAGATTTTGAGATAGTGCATTTTCAAAGGATTATGGTGCATTTCAACGTGATGCATTTTCAAACCATTTTGATGCAATCCTGACCCTTAGATCTCTCAATCTAAAGCACCAGATTCATTCTTATTTCTTTCATAAGATTTCATTCTCACCAGAACCAATATATATATATAAAATAAATATATTTTTCTCTATCTAAGCTTCCTTTGCTCTCCTGATGTCGGTGACCAGTTCCGGGGGAGCTTCCGGCCAACCTCCGTCATCCACTCCCTCTAGCTCTCATCCCAACTCAAGCAACCAATCCCTCCATGGAAAATCTTCAGCCCCACTGCTTCAGGCAGCCTCTTATCCTAACAAACCTGGCCTCTTCAAAGGTCTCAAACCTGGGAAGAGTTACGCAGCAGCAACCATTGCACAAGCTAACCAGGTAACCACCATCAACCTCCCTCATAGATCAGTTGATAAGTTCAAAGGTCTTCCATGCATCTCCTTCTCCAAAGAAGAGGTTGAAAACCTTGCTGCCAAATTCTCTAAAGCCCTTGTTGGAACCTTCTTTTTTAACAGACCAAGTCTGGACTTCATTCGAACCACTTTGGAGAGAATGGGATTCATTGGCTTTTCTGTTACTCTCATAGACTCCACACACATTCTCTTAAACTTCTCCAGCGATGATGATTTCCATCGCTGTTTTAAGCAAAGGGAATGGTCCCTGGGAGCTTACAAAATGCTTATCTCGAAATGGACTCCCAATTTTGATCCCAATATTGAATCACCTATCATGCCCATTTGGATTTCTATCAAAAACCTACCTATTCACTTCCATGCCAAAGAATCATTGATGCAAATTGCCAGAATCTTTGGTAATCCAATCAAACTTGATAGCACCACTAAAAACTTTGGCAGACCTTCAATTGCAAGAATCTGTGTTGAAGTGGATATCTCACAGCCTCAAACCAACAAATTCGTCATTCTCAATGGAGAACAACCAGTGCTTTTAGAAGCGTTCTATGAAGAAGTTCCTCTTTTCTGTCCAGAATGCAAAGGGATCTCCAGGCATAAGGAATCTTGTACACACTTCAAACATGCTGATTCCCAAACCAAAATTCAGGCCAGATCTCTTGACCGGAATATTCCCAAAGGATCAGGGAAGGAACCTGTGAAAAAACAATTTCAACAGAAAACAGACAAAACTCCTGTCCCTAGCATCTCTCTTAGCCAAACTAGCCAAACCATTCAGGACAAAAATCATCACAGTCTGCCAAACACTGATAACCCCCTCCAGGACTCCCAATCAGCCTCCCTCACTTCCCAACAAACCACTTCACAACAAACAAATAAACCAAAAACAACTTCTCTTCCTGCCCACTCCCCCTTATCACCCTGTTTACCCCAACCTTTAACCCATTCCCCTTGCCCACAAAATTCAAACACCCACA